GATCTCAGCTCACTGCAAGCTCCGCCTCCTGGGTTTTTGCCATTCTCGTGCCTCAGTCTCCCGCGTAGCTGGGACTACAGGCGCCGCCACCTCACCCGGCTAGTTTTTTTTTTGTACTTTTTAGTAGAGACGGGGTTTCACCATGTTCACCAGGATGGTCTCGATCTCCTGACCTCGTGATCTGCCTGTCTCGGCCTCCCAACGTGCTGGGATTACAGGCTTGAGCCGCCGCACCCGGCCGGTTTTTTCTTTTATCAATTTTCCACTCAACTGTTTTAAAACCTATGAATCAGTGTCCTTAAGCCCATTCATAATGTACAACCATCACCACTACCCATGTTTATACTTTTCTCATCCCCCAGACAGAAACTGCACCCCGCATGTGCCACTCCTCGTCCCTCCAGCCCCTGGTCCCCAGCACGCACGCATCTCCTTCCTGTCTCTCTGGATTGCCCCGTCCTGGACATTGCATAGAAATGGGATCACACCTGTAATTCCAGCACTTTGCAAGGCCGAGGTGGAAGGATCTTGAGGTCAGGAGTTCAAGACGAGCCTGACCAACATGGTGAAACCCCGTCTCTACTAAAAATACGAAAGTTAGCCGGGTGTGGTGGTGGGCACCTGTAATCCCAGCTACTCAGGAGGCTGAGGCAGGAGAATCGCTTGAACCTGGGAAGTGGAGGTTACAGCGAGCCGAGATCACGCCATTGCACTCCAATCTGGGTGACAGAGCGAGACTCCGTCTCAGAGAAAAAAAAGAAATGGCGTTTCTCACTGAGCGTGACGTCCTCAGGGGGCATCTGTGCCGTGGCCTGGGTCAGAGCCTCGCTCCTTTTCGTGGCTGAGTCGTGTTCTGTGATGGACGAGTCATGCTGTGTTTGTCCCTCTGTTGGGGATGGGCGCCTGGGCTGCCTCCGCCTTTTGGCTGCTGTGATTCGAGTGTGAATCGAGCTGGTGTGAACACGGCGGAGTGGGCGTCTGTCCGCATCCTTGTTTTCATTTCTTTGGGTGTCATCTCGGGGCGGGGAAGTACCGGTAGTTTTATGTCTTTTTAAGGAGCCGCCCGTGTTTGCTCAGAGTGGTTTTGATTTGCATTTTCTCGATAGCGAAAGGGCCAGGCACCTGTCCATGTAGCCATTTGCTGACTCTCTATGACCTCCCGTGTGGACGCAGCTCTCACAGCACCGTGCCTGGCCCGGCATACGCAGGCCCTGAACAGACAGGCCCTTTTCTGCCAGAGCTTCCTGGGGAGAGTTTTGGAATCCACCCTGGGGACTCTGGCCAGGCGTATCTGGGAGTGGATGTGCCCTCTGGTCTCTTGTCCACGGGTATTTATCATGTGGAACGTCCGGATGGTGCCAGGTCCAGCTTGGCCTGTTCCTCCCACCCTCTCGGCCTCCCCTGTGGC